TAATTTCCTGCATCTTTCTTAAATCTTGGTGCTCAGAACTGGACACAATATTCCAGATGAGGTCTGACTAGTGAGGAGTAAAGGGGAACTACTACTTCTTGTGATTTGGAAGTAATACTTCTATTAATACATCCCAAGATAACATTTGCCCTTTTTGCAGCTGCTTTGCACTGTTTGCTCATATTTAGCCTGTTGTCCACAATAACTCCAAGGTCTTTTTCAGTTCTGTTGAGCCACGTATTTCCTATCTTGCACTGATGCATTTGGTTTCTTTTCCTAGGTGGAGGACTTGGCACTTGTCCCTACTGAATCTCATTCTGTTGCTTTCAGCTTAGCATTCAAGTTTATCCAGCTCTCCCTGGATCTTCAGTCTGTCTTCAAGGGTGTTTGCTATTCCACCCAGTTTTGTATTGTCTGCAAATTTGATGACCTTTCCTTGTATTTCCTCATCTAAATCATTAATAAAGATGCTGTAGAGCACTGGGTACAGGACTGAACACTTTGACACCCCACTAGTTACCTCCATCCAGTTTGAGAAGGTGCCATTGATGAGCACTCTTTGTGTCTGATTTACCAGCCGGTTTTGCATCCGCCTAATAGTTTTTCTTTCTCGTCCACTTTTTGGTAATTTGCTTAGCAGAATGTCATGGGGCACTATGGTGAAAGCTTCGCCAAAATCAAGACAGATTATGTCCACAGTGTTCCCTCTGTCCGTTTGGGAGGTTACCCAGTCAAACTATGCAATTAAATTGGTCTGACAGGATTTATTTTTGATAAATCCATCTTGGCTTTTATTTATCACTGCAGACTGATGTTTAAATAATTTTCTCCAGACTTTTTCCTGAGATTGAGGTTAGACTGTAATTCCCTGGTTGAACTTTTTCCCCCTTTTTGAAGATAGGGGCAACATTAGCCATTTTCCAATCATCTCCTGTCTTCCAAGATTTATCAAAAATAATAGCCAGTGGTTCTGAGAGTTTGTCCACCAGCTATTTTATGACTCTGGAATGGAGTTCATCAGGCCCTGGAGATTTGAACATGTTTATTTCATTTAGATATTCCTTGACCATTTGTCTGTCAAACTTGGGCAGCCATCTCTCACTTTCAGCTTGTACTTCCTCTTGGTTGCAGATTTTCTTGTGGGAGATGACTGAGGTGAAGTAGGAATTGAGTGCCTCCACCTTTTCCTTGTCATCTGTTATCACTCTGCCATCCACTTTTAAGTAGCTAGACACCTTTCTTTTTCTCTTCAAACATCTTTTATTTTGGATATAGCTGAAGAAGTCTTTCTTGTTGTTCTTAGCATCTCTTGCTATCTCAGTTCATTTCCTGTTTTAGCTTCCTGATGCCCTTTCTGCAATTCCTTGCTATTTGTTTATATTCTTCCTTTGTGGCCTGGCCCTGCTTCCACATCCTGTATATGTTTTGTCTTTCTTTCAGTTTGTCACTTAACTTTATGTGGAGCCATGTGGGCTTCCTCTGTTGTCTTCTACACGTTTTTCTTGGAATTGTTTGTAGTTGTGCTTGGAGAATCTTCTTTTTCAAGATTTCCTACCCCTCATGGACTTCTTTTCCGTTAAGAGTGAGTTGCCATGGCACTTCCCTTATCATTGTCCTGAGTTTCTTAGAGTGGGCTTTCTTGAACTCCAGGGTACCTGTTTGGCCACAGTTAACCTTTGTCTCTTATATAACTGAGAATTCGAGTATTATATGGCCATTTCCACCCAGAGTTCCCATGCTGCTATTTGTCCACCAGGCCATCCCTGTTAGTTAGCATTAAATCAAGGATACCTGATCCTCTGGTTCCTTCCTCTACCTACTGCTGGAGGAAGTATTCAGCAACTCATGTCAGGAATCTTTCTGCCATGTTTGGCAGAAATTGTCTTCCAGCATATATTAGGGAAATTGAAGTCCCCAATGATGACTATATCATTCTTCTTGTAAATGCTGACACATTGCTTTTCAAAGGTTGCATCCTTGTCCTCTTTTTGAGTGGGTTGTCAGTAGTAGATGTCAATTACTATGTCTTTCTTATTTTTTGCTCCCTTTAAATTAAGCCAGATGCTTTCAGTGGGACTGTATTTCTGTGTCTCTTATGTATAGTGCAACTCCATCTCCCTTTTTGTCTTTTCTATTTTTCTTAAACAGGTTGTATCCATCAATTGTAGAGGTCCAGTCATGTGAGTCATCACACCAAGTTTCAGTTATTCCTATAAGATCATAATAGCCCTCATGTGCTATGAGCTCAAGTTCATGTTGTTTGTTTCCAATATTCTGGGTACTGGTGTAGAGAAGTCTGAGAATACAACAGTTTTGTGTCTCACTTTCTCTGATAAAGTGAGTGTTCTCTGAAAGTTGTCTTTCCTCCAGTTTCATAGACCCCAATTATAAGAAATGACTTCTTTCTTCTGATCATCAGTTGTGTATGGCAAGTATTAAACAACTTCTTTTTCTCCTTTGCTCCACCACGCAGTTGGGCTCCATTTCTGCACAAAGCAGCTCCTGAACTTTCTAGATTACTAGTTGAAGATCTAGTACTCCTTGTATCAGATAAGAGGTTCTCTGAGCACACTCTGAGAGGAGAAATATGTGCATCCCCACTTACCTCTTCTGATCACTGCAAGAGCAGCATCCCTGAGATAGTTCTTGCTGAGTTGCTAACTGAAGTTCTTACATTTTTAGTTGGAGAGGTTTGTTTCTTCATTTGTACCATTCTTATTAACATTTCTGTGTGAGTTCCTTAGCTGTTTACTGAGCACCTGTAGTGCTTACAAGGTTTCTTTAAACAGTACCGAAGCTGTGATGGGAATCCCCCTACTCACATTAGACATCTGGCATGACAATTGCCTCTTATACAGGTGAAGGCAATCAGGTGGGCAATCACTAACTAAACTTTGGCAAGCAGCCACAGTGGGAGATGCGAAATATGCACTTGGAAGACCCTCATTAGGAGTCTGTTTCTGCTTTGCATGCAGAAAGTGCTAGGTTTAATTACTGGCTCCTCCAAGGAGGGCTGGGCAAGCACCCTGCCTGAAATTCAGTCACCAATACTAGGCTAGATACTCCCACAGCCCAAGGCAGTTCCCTATGCTCTTATCTCTGCCCTGAGCAAATTTTGTGAATGGCCAACTCCCTTGGGGGTGAAATAGAGCAGGTGCTATAAACAATTTGTTTCCTGATTGGTCTCATCTGAAATGAGTATTTGCATGGCCTTTCTTAAGCTCCTGGTGTTGCTCCTGGAACAGCATATTTTCTACTTCTATATTCCATGTAAAATATGTGTCAGAAGAGTGTGTATATATTTATTATTTCAATAAAAGTTTTCTTTTGTAAGAATAAACCAAATTCATGCAGCAAATAGACTGTGTGATGACACCGAAAACAGCAAAAGGGGAAAATTATTTTCAGTATCTTATCTTTAACAGTAATTTTATAGGCATTATTTATATATGCTGAAAATCCAAGAATATTTAATACCAAATTCTAGCTGAAATTATGGTACTAAATCAAGAACTTCTGTCTCTCAGACTTCTGTTAATATCCCTAATCAAAGATCAGCAATCAAAGGGTATTTTAAGGAATTTAAAATGGAATGGAATGTTTCTCTGAACCAAAACGAAAGCACATTTTGGTTTTTGCCATCTGCAGAGGACCAAGAACTACTTGGAGGCTGTGTCCTTGGCTTTCCATGAATAAACCAGGAGCACATGATAGTATTGCCAACCTGGCTCACAAATTGGAGGGATCTCACTCTCTTTCACTGCCAAGAGACACTTAGCTCTGACTGCCCTATAGAACTGGGGTTGCAGAAGTGAGGAGAAAGAACACTCGAGCCCCACCCATTTGCCAAGAGGTCACCACTTGCCATGCAAGCAGGAACATCTTGCAGTTGTCAGAATCCCGGAATCTCAATTTGAGAAGAGGGCATAAAACTTGGGTTCGTGGGAAAGATCAAGCGTCCAGACCATCTGAGGCTTTATTGTATTTCCCAGGTTCCTCGCGGGTGCGTACTCACGATAATGCATTACCGGACAGGCAGACTGAACTCTGCCGCCAAACTTCAACACAACTAGAGAGTTTTTATACACTCCCAGTTACATACAGGTACAGGGCAATTGATGACAGACTGCAGAGATTACAATAAGATTCTGAGGTCATCACATACAGAACAGATAAAGGAATGTCAGTCAATCACACAGTAACAATAAGAGTACAATATTTCTAATTGCCTGTATTGACACTTTCGTTCAGTAGCTTGAACCCATCTCCAGGTCTGCTTAGACATGCAAATTCAAGCTACTGAGAAACTATGCATGATAAGCTCAAGACTCTTATCTAGACTCTAGACATTCTGAATTGGCCAGGGCCCATGGAGCCTCTGGGCTATCAAAAGATACTTCCTTGTAAACTGAATTCCAACAGTGACTATTTACAATGTATATTTGGCCTAAAATGGCCTGTCTACTGTAGCTTACAGCTAAAGGTGAGAGAAAGGAGCTGGGAATGCCATTTTAAACAGCGACAGCTTGGTTTTGAGAAGGAAGACAGGATTTGATCCCACAATGCAAAGGCACACAGAAGTAATGCTTTTCAGACAGGATTTATCCAAATTTTCCCAACACAGTGCACGTAAATGATCCTTATAGTTCACCAACTTTTGTGACTTGGAAAACGGATCCATTTCCTCTATTTTTTTCTCTCTCTCCTGTTCCCTTGTGTTCTTGTCTTTTAGTGCATAAGCTTGAAAGTAGGGGTCCTCTTTTTCATTGATGTGGTCCATTTTGGGAATCAACAGTTGATGGAAAAGTGGGATAAAATGTGTAAACAAATGAGCTGCACATAATTATACTGACTGTCTTTCTGAAACTGATGAACTGGAACTTATGAGTTTACCTTTTGATCAACCCCAAATTTTATTTCTATATTGTGTGCGTGTGAGAGAGAGAGGGAGAGAGAGAGAGATAAATTTGTGATCTGAATCTAGCCTTTCTTTGTTATAGAATAATACAATCATTCAGATCACAACTCTGCAGCATGAAATTGACCAACTAAGAAGAAAGCTAGATCATGCAAAAATGAAGCTTATCATAGAAATCAAGGTATTACACTAATGTATCTATTTGTGAAGCCTGTAAAAATGCATGCATAATTGATCTCCAGAATGGCCTCTCAAGCATAGGAGAGGATGTCATCTTGCAAATCAGTAATCCAGATCCCTAAACACATTTAGAATCCAAATCACTGAGGAGCTGCAGACTGATGAATGCATAGTTTTGTTGAGTCAGCAAGTTTCCAATAGTCTGGCTTTCCTAAGCACATGCTCATTTGAAATGAGGTTTAATAAAGCGGTGAACTCCTCTTGGTTCCTAGCAGTAGTACTCCTGCAGGTGAGAGTCACTATTCCATTCAGTCTGGATATCTTGTTATAGATCACAGCAAGAAAGTAAAGCTACCCTTGTAGTTAGGGACCTGTATAATCCTAGTGCTGAAGCAGTAAATGTCCTTCATCATATTTCATGAGCCAGCAGTTTGTACTTTATTCTATAGTACAATTTATTTGTATTTGTTGAAATATAAACGAGTCCACATTTTATTAAAATACAATTTTGTTTATAAATTAGCTAGTAAAGTTTAGCTGCCATATCCTGCCATTCTTGTACACTTGTGCTGTACATACCTACGTGAGACAAAGTTCCCAATAAAAGCAGCATGCCTAAGATTGTACTGTTAATTTATGAAAAGACTAAGGAAAATAACTTTTCAAGAGGAAAAGTAACCATTACAGGATGAAATTATAGCATGGGCTTTTAGGAAAGGTGGCGGAAAGAATTGATGCCTTGCTAGTCTCAATGTACTTAAAATGACTGAAAGTATAAAAATTATTTCAGTGGACAAGACTGCAAAGTTAGCTTCTCCTCTGTCAAATGTTCATTCCCAGCTCCTTAACTCTGTAAAAGTCATTTAGGGCAATTTCTACATTATACCCCTCATAACAAGGCTGCTGAAAATTGCTCATAGGCATCAGTACTCCACATCTCAGCTATATTCTGCATCACTATAGCAGCTAAACTGCTTTCAGATGCTCTAGTCAGTGTACAAGGTACTGAACATTGCTGGGTGCTTTCTAGTAGCTCCTATGTAAAGCTATATAATTTAGTTCTCAGCCTTCCTCTCAGAAGGACTTTGATGTCTCTCCAAATTTCCTGGTGATAAAACGCTGCAGCATCTAGGGACGTGCATGGGTTTTCTTACTCAACTTAGTCCGGTAGGGCAAAATAGCACAGAATCCCTTCGTACAGGAACTATGTCTTCCTTTCAAACTGGAAAGCTCAACTTGCCACCTGCAAGGTACCAAAACCTTACACCTACCTCGTGTGTACAATGCAGGCTCCATGTACCAAATATTTTCTACATCCCTTAAAAACGTCTTATAGATATACCTGCAGCCTAGTAAACTGCAAACTGTGTTCTGGGAATTCAAGGACAGCTTGGAAGCTTTTCAAGGATTTCTTCCCCATGGTAAGGTCAACTTGTTCACTATTAATTATCTTCCCATGGAAACCCAGCCCTTAAATAGAACTCTGACTACACATGCCAATTTGTAACATTGGATTGTGCTAATCAGACACAGAACATCACTGTTCGGTGATGTTAGTAGGAGCTGCATCACTTTCTCTTGAAATTCCTCCTTACATCCTATTTTTTCTTTTGCTTACCAAAGTTAAGGTATGTTCTGCACTGAAAACACTGCTTAAATAACGCTAATAATGATGCATTTTTCATAGCCAGAAAAATTGCAGGAATAGACAACTGAATTGCAGAAATGCAGCCTTTTCTGATCTGCAATACAATCTTGGATGATCTTTCAACCATTTTCCCACTGTCATTCATGGAAATACGATGTAATGTGTATATTAGGGATGCTATTAACATGCCAACTGCTTCATGGTGTAACTTGTTAGGCTTGAAATATGAAAAGGCCAAATTTTACTAAGCCACATAAATGTTGAATCTTCTCTGTAAAAATAAACCAGAGTTTGTAATTTATTTCTTTTGCAATTTCTGGATCTTTTTTAGATGAGGAAGCAAGCCACTTTTGATTTACAAGCACTGAAAGCGGAACTGGCACACAAAAAGGTTCAATCTTCTTTAAAACTTCAGTCTGAAAAATAAGTGCCTTAACTGACTCCCCTTTATGAAACTCTTCACTGAATATTTGTACAGCTGCTCCAATATATTCTTTTACTTGTAATTTGTATAAATGTATGAAAGAGTTTGTATTAAAATATGGGTGTTAGAAAGCAGTAATTGATCGCTAAACCAATCTATTGCTGATATAACATAGTGTTGCACACCAGTCACAGCAAAAGCTGGGAAGCAAAAAACACATTTGCACATTTTATAACAGCACTTTTAGGGAGGAAAAAGACTTGCTGTCAGAACTTTGAAACTGTTCACAGCCCTAGCTACCTATTTTTGGATGGAAAAGAGACACCTGAGTTGACTCTGAGTTCCTTCCCCATCTTCAAGCTCTCAGAAACTTCATTCTGACAGTACATACCACTCTTGGTTATGTTGGATTCTGCATCTGCAACATTATTTGCTTTGATTGCAAAATATCCTTAGATTAAGGAGAACTGACATAAGAAACCTGAAGATAGAAGGCAAAGATCTATTAGTAAATGACTGGACCTTTTGAACTTACTTCAAATCTATTTGTAAAGAGCATCGTCTTGCTTACTGTAATTAAATCATCCTTAAACACCCTTGGAAATCACATCTAATCATTCACTCTTGCTTCTACATACAGTGGAATCACAGCTAGAATTGACTATATTTAATTTAAAACTCTTCTATTAAAAAACTCCTCAGTATTTATCATATCATTGGAAAAAGGGGGACATAATACCAATATTTGCATTGTTTATTTTCCTGGTTTAAGCAGTATGAACAAACAGAACTGGAGTGAGGTGGACAGGAGCAAAGAGGAACACATAATAGTAAAATAAAATGTTTTTAGCAAAGTCTTTGATGGCTATTCGGGCCACATGAAGAACTCAAGAAGTAGATAATACAGATCCATGTTAACCATATAGTCTGGTCTCTCCGCCTCAAATATTTGGTGGTTCTTGTTAACAAGTATGCATTCTTTCTGCAAAACTTGGGAAATGGAGTACTCTCACATTGTGACAGTTCTAAAGCTGTTGGCTGTTGGGTGTCCTGTAAAAGTAAGAATTATTTTGGTGAGGCGGCAGAGGTCAGCGAGGTAGGGGTGGCAGCAGGCACAGGACTGGCTGCCCCTGACCTGGCCACCCAGGGCTCGCATAATTAAAAGACGGGCCAGATAAATGGGCCTGGCAAGCCGGATCTGGCCCGTGGGCCATAGTTTGAGGACCCATGGGCTAAGCAATGCACCAGTGCATTGGCCAAATCTGGTCTCTGGGGCTTCAGTCTTTGAGGGGAAGATCCACTGGAAACCTTATGTTCAGATCCCCCTCATTTTGTCACCACCAAACTGATGGACCAGGAGCTCACCAGACTTAATAGCCCATCATCCTCAAGTGCACCTTGATATGAAGTGCACTCCTGATGCCCACCATCAGATTGAGACAGATGCACTGAATGGTCTCTACATCTTCGTTATCACTACCAATACAATTAATTGGAGATTACCACAAGTCAAGGCTACTATTTCGACCATTGTTATCATAGGAAGCTCTCTTATCAGTTCTTTATCAAAGACTTTTTGACTGCTCCAGGTCACTTTTCTCTGGAACCATTTGTTGTCATCCTCCGCCATCTCCTAGGGCCCCAACAACTGCTGCACAGCAAATACTGACTACAACCCACTGTGGGCCATGTGAACATTCTCTGCCATCACATATTCCATTGCCAGTACACCTGGCATTGCCCCTCTTTAAGATTCACAGATGGCAGCTTCACTTTTTACTAGGTCTGAGGACTATCCTTTGGCTTCACCTTCTTGCTCTTACATTGTACAATTTTTTTTTTTTTTTGGTGGCAGCTGTGGGCACACAAGATCCTGCTTCCTCATCTGAGGATCTGGGCCATTTCTTGGACCAAATTCTATGGATGGTCCAATCTGAGGTCTCAAGGTGTAGCATCCTACAAAAAAGGTGAAATAAGGGTGGTTTTGATGTAATTTACACTGAAACATTGACTCCAGTAGCCATTTCATTCATTCCAACTTTGTTGCAGACAGTACAACAAACTTGGAAGGCCCTGCCCTCCATGACCCCCACATCAAGGCTCCTGGAAAATATGCACAAGGTCCATGACAAGGATGTTAACTTGCTTTTTCAGCCCCCTAAACCAAATTCCATCATGGCTGAATTATCACAGAGGCCAGTCCCAGTGAGAGGGTGCCATCTTTTGTTGTTCTTGGCCTCCAAGTTTGTAATTACCGGGCCACTATGGTGAGCTGAAAGCTGTTCTTCTGGGACAAAATGGGTAGTTCCTGTGCCAGAAGACCAGAGGGAGATGACCAGAGTTTCCCAGGGAGAAGTGTCTCCTGCAAACAAATAAACACCATTCAACATCAGGTTGACTGCAGTGTCAAATACTTAGGGTGTTGGCACAGTTGGCTAAAACAGAAGATGCTATGGATACTCATTCTATTCAGATTTCCCAACTCACTTCATATGCCAGATTTAGTTTATTGCATGTATCCCACTGCTCTCAGCCCTCCCTTTCTTTCTGTTTTTTAAATGAAACTGGCTATTTATTTCTATGAAATGCTTAAAGTTAAATGTTGGTTCAGGTGTGTGTTGATACCTTGATGACTACAGGTTTAATAATTTGCATGCAGAGGGTAGCCTTCCTGTAAGGAGGCAAGGTGTGGGTGTGGAGGCACCCAACATAGTGTGTTTTGAAAATATTAAATGTGGTGATCTGTGTTTCATTGCTGGACAGGAGAAATGCAGTGTCCTCAAAGAATTAAACCAGCAAAGAAACCAAGAATGCAACATGAGTGATAAAGACAGACTCAGCCTCCAAAAACAATACAATCAACATACATATTTTATACAAAAATTATTTTAATAGCATAAAACTATAAAACAGATGTTCAGATATTTCATTTTAGTTGAAATAATAGTAATGAAAATCTTTTAAGGAATGATCCTGTGGCCTCCCAACATCATCTTGGAGGCCACATGATATTCAGATCCCGCCTCCCCTCCACACACACACACACACTCACACACAGAGGAAGGAGGCTTGGGGCATGGACTCAGGTCATTTTCAATTGGTGTCCCAGCCTCTTCCTGTCCCGGGAACTAAATCTAAAGACTGAAAATGGCTGTCTAGAGAAAACACCCAATGTAAGGGACAGTAGCAGTGACAATTACCCCCATGGTTCCTTGTTTGGGCACAGAATGCATAGAAGCCTCCAGATTTATGGGTTTCTATGCACTGAGTGCATGAAACATAGGACTGCACCCTTACTCAACTCACTGAGAAGCCTGTTCTGCTACTTTAATGGCTCAAATGCTACTTGGAAAAGAACATATGACATCGGTTTTAGAAAGTGTGAGAAACGGATACAGAGAACTTTTCTCAAAAGCTTTCAAATGATTTGATTTTCAAAAGGCAGAAATGCAACAGAACTTTCCATTCTACAATTTCTAGTGGTTAAGGCCTTAGAAATGATGGCCACAGTTCGGCATACCTAATGTACTGAATTGGGCATACCAAACCAATCTATAGAAACCACAGTTGGTTCACTTATACAGTTTTTCTTCAATCCCCATGCAAGTAATACAGTTTCAGTTCTTCGGACTGTGTGCAGGCAGTTATTTTCTTATCTGCATCTTGGTATTTTGTATTTACACCAAGCAGAACACCCCCAAATACTGCTTTCATAATCTTCATACTTTTAAGTCAAGTCATCAGCTTCAACTGCAATGATAAAATATGTATTTACACCTGTGTAAATTACATTTACATACTATATTTCTTCAATGGAAATCAAGATGATTTGTACAGGTTTATTTTCACTCTTTTCAAATAAGTAAATAACAAACAGAATTCATTTGGACAATAGTATTTATCTTCTCTTGCAGGAAAACACAGTAATGACAGAAGTGTGAGATAAATTTCTGCTACATTTTGGTTTGTTTTTTTGGACTTTATGATAAGAAAGAAATTAAGTTACTTCTTTACTTTATGGGCACAGCATACAGAGAAACAATAAATGTAGCTGTCCTATTCCTAAATCCACACTACAGCCTACTTTGGTTTCAAGGCCTCCCACATGGCCTGGCTTTGCTCTTGTGCTACAGCACTGCCGGAATAGTCAAGGCAATTTGCATTCCACATACCCACACCCCTTAAGCCGTGTTTTTTCACATAGGCTGCTTTCAGAGAGATACTCCTGGGATTATCAAACCACACTTGATGATATGTGCCATGTGAATCCTACAAAAGAGTGAAACAGAACATATTAACATGCTTTTGGGTATTCTTTTATTTTAATGTACCAAGGAAAATATCCATGGATTAGAGTTGCATGGAAGAAATGTATTGGTATTTACACAAATATGATACAAAGAACTCTAAAGTCCAAAAAGAGTGAAAAAAGAACATTAACATGCTGACCAGGATATAAAGATCCGCTGGTCAGAGCGCCTTTGCCCCCGTGGGATGGAACAGACGGAAATACAGAGCACGTCCTGCTGAGGCGCACGTTCTGCAGGGACATTCGCACTGCACTCATCTCCCCACTGATGAATCGCTTCCCAAGACGTACGGAACAACAATATATCTATATACTGTTGTCTGACACTAATCCAATGATAACATACAGTGTCGCTAAATTCTTGGCAGCTGCTATGGGTGTCCAAAGACAGATCCTGAGGGAGAGTGGTTCTATCTAGTTGGACAAAAGACAAAGTCTACCGACTTAAGATGACTGATATGAACTATGGTAGTAATATATTGTGTCAAAGGATTTAGTAATCCAACTGGGGGTTAATCACAGATAACCTTCAATGTATCTTATTCTTTTAAAAAATCTATTAATTTACTGAATGGAGCTGGCCTTTGACCGCAATAAAGTTTTCCTCTATCTAACATGCTTTTCATGTACATTCCAAATAAATCTCATAGCTTTGAAACCTTCACATTGCATAGAAAGTATGCACTAGCAGCAAAAGTATGCACTGTGATTATCTGATTGTGCTTTTCTGAAATTTGAAGTAAGGAAGTCATACAATTTTGTCTATGAAATCCTGTTGCTGCAGTTATGGGAGATCACTTTTCATGCATCCTTCCTCAAACAATTTCCATATTTTGCACAAGTTCATATAAACATTTTTATCCTCACAACAGCCCTGTGAGATAGGTCAGGCTAACCAAGAGTGGTTAACTCAAAGTCACCTGGTGAGCTTGATTAATAGAGTTTTGCCAATGCATTAGAGATACCGCATTTAGTCACTTCATCTTAGCCTTGATTAACCCTCCACGAAATTGGAATAATGGACAACAAATTCACAATATTGCATAATAAAAACTTGATGGCCTTTAAATAATAGTTACATGGTGGTTATGTAAGTAGTCCAGGGAGAAGAAAACTAAACTTCAGGCAAATCAACTCTTTTACTGATTAATATTTTTGTATGTCAGTTAAGCCTGCAATCAGTTACCTAATAATCTGAAAACATTCTTTAGTCAATACCATGTTTCCACAAAAATAAGACCAGGTCTTATATTAATTTTTGCTCCAAAAGTTGCACTAGGGCAGTGGTGGTGAACCTATGGCATGCGTGCCACAGCGGGCACGCAGAACCCTCTCTGTTGGCATGAGACCCAAATCGCCCCAGCATTGCTCCAGCAGCCGAGCATCGGATAACAGCACACATAGGGGCCAAGTGCATGCTCGGAAAGGAGTAGCAGCGCCAGGCAATGCCATCACAAGCCACGACTCATTAGCCTTAACTAATGGCCAGTCAGTGTGCTGCCAAGGATATATTTGCTTGGACTGGTTGTGAGTTGTTTTTTCTAAACTAAAACCTCAGTTTTCAGGTTTTATTGCAGTGTTGGCACTTTGCGATGAGTAAGTGGGTTTTGGGTTGCAGTTTGGACATGGTCTCTAAAAGGTTCGCCATCACTGCAGTAGGGCTTATTTTCAGGTGATGTCTTATTTTTTTTCTTACGAAAGCCCTAAGATTCTTGCCCCAAGAGACCTCCATGATTCCTTTCTTGTACTCAACGGAATAGCTCTTTTTTTTTGCACCCATCTTGCATTTTGCATCCATGCATTAAGTATGTCCGTTACAACACACGATTTATTGATGTTATTCGTGCGTTGTGTCTATACTCTGATTGGTCATTTGGCAGTAAGTCTCGCATCTCTCTGTTTACATAGGCATTTACCTCTCATCCAAAGGTACCCTCTTCGGTATTTACAAATACTTAATTATAATGTGTATTATAATTTAAGTATTAATGTCAATAATATTATTTATTTATTTATTTATTTATAGCTATATATTAATATTATTATTTTATAATTCAGTACATATATCGTGTGTTGCAATAGACGTACTACCATGTTTCCCTGTCTGTCTGGCTGACAATCTTAACTGGGGCTTATTTTTGGGGTAGAGCTTATATTACAAGCATCCTGAAAAATCATGCTAGAGTTTATTTTCCAGTTGGGTCTTATTTTCAGGGAAACATGGTACAATTTTGTGCTTTTTGACAGGATAACATAAGAACTTCCTCAAATGGTATGGGTACCAGACCTCCTCCTGCTCAAGCTGCTCAGCTACTGGTGGATGCAGGCTTTTCAGCTCTGCTAAAGGAGGTAGCACAGAATTGGCAAGGCTAGTAGCTACTGACAGCTTCATCCGGAAAGGAGCATGGTTAACTTTGATGCCCAGGAAGTCTGAACTCACAGGGATTTCTGGTGCTTTAAAAAAAAAAACTAATATGGGGTCACTGGAGAGTAACTAAACAGGCTTGATTGGAGGGGCTGATGTAACTGACTACAATAGACATTAATGCTTAATGGACAGTTGAGATCATGACAAGGAAATAGGTTACCCCCAAAGATGTGGTTTTCTTTAAGGTTATGGAAATACCCAAGCCTTTTCCACTTTCCTATACCCTCCTTTTTCTTCCTGCTGTCCTGCCCTGTGCCCACAAATGCCCAGTCTCTGTGTTGCCCTCCTAAGAATCATCAGTGCAGTTCAATGGGCCATATGGTTTGTGTGTGCATTCGAGGCTTCAAGTCAGCCAGGGGTGTCCAAAAGAATGTCCAGTAAACAGGTCAGAAATCTAGACACTGATTAGCTTTAACAATCTCTGCTGTTTGTCACAAAGAGCAACTCCATCTGATCTAATGTATAGCCAGCTGGAAATCAGCACAGTTTTCATGAAAAACTCCCCATTCAGCCTGTTTGGGCTTCTGTTAAAGCCATGCACTCCTCCTCCTTATCAAGGAGTGAATACCCTCTGCCTCTGGCTCCTGATCTTGGGGAACCTCAGGGACTGCCCAAGAGGGTCCTGGCTCCTCCTCTAGCGGAGGGTAGTCACCTGAAGCCTGTGGCTGGGGTCCACTGCACTAGCTTTCTCCATCTGAGGAATCCTCCTCCAGGTAAGGCACAACACCTGGACTGGCTATTATCTTCTCACTTCTTCAGTATATTTTGAAAAGTGAAAGACTGTGATGGAAATAACAATGTAGTGTAACTAAAAATGCACAATGATGAACTTGCAGAAGAATGGATTATACTGTAAATGATGTACTTCTTTATACAACCCTTTGTTTTATAGTATGATAAAGGCATAATATTTTGAAAGTAAATATATGGTAATCTTTATAACAACTCACCTTGTATTCAAGATATGGAGCTTTTTGTGCTTTATTCCACAGGATTCCAGAAAGGGAACTATTTCCTTGATTCATTATGGTTTTGTAAGGGACTTGAGATCTTACTGCAGAACTGCACAGCAGCATTTGGAAAGGAAATTTTGCAAACGAGCAAACATGAGCCTGAAGGAATATAAATCAATATTATGTAAATAAATTATTATTATTAACTTACTCATAAAGGGTTCATGATCCCATTTAATATCCTGTTAACATGCTACGTGCTGCTAACAAGTTCTAGGCTTTAAAACTAAAGGTACCTATTTCCAAAATTCAATACTTTTATTGCCACACAAATGAATAATTCCATTCTCAGAGTTCCACTGAATACTAATACCTAACCACACTTAGGTTACAAGCAAGTGCCTTTGAAAATGTTCACGTTAGATGCACATTACTACCAAACAGCTTTTTCAGTAAAAACAAAATTATTCAACAATTTCCCATGCTGGAGTCCCTCTCTCTTAAATAACTCCTCTCCTTTCTTCCACTAGTAGAGAAAGCACAGAATCTAGGATGCACCTGCTAAAAGTCTCACTGATTAGGACTAAGAAAGGTCTTCAAATATCTTCATACTACTTTAACTTATAGAGAGAGAAGGGCAATTAAAGATTTCTAATTAGGCAAAAGGTATAGATTGAAAGCTCTTTCCTATGGGCTGGGCTACAGAAGGAATAAAATTAAAACAGATTGCACAGACTATTAACACATCTGAATTAAAGCATCAGTGTGAATGCATGCCCAGAAAAATAAAGCCTATGATCATACTGAGCAAAAATACAGTTAAAAATGAACTATTTTTTCTTACCGTCAAGTCTAGACAGGTATAATCATAGCCATACCATGGTACACCCATCACAAGCTTCTTTGGATTAATGCCCATGCGAATGTACTTGTCATATCCTAATTTAATATAAAAAGATTAAAATCCTGCATGCATTTTATTCTTAGTTCCTTGCCTGCATCTGATTTGTAATATCAACATAGCAAAAGCCATTGTTGGAGACATTCAAGATACAACTATACTAGTCTTTCATATACTGCTGTCTCTTTGTAGAAGAGCATTATTTTAAGTTTTCCAAGAGACTGATGTTCTGTCTTACTTAAGAAGACATCCTAAAGGAGAACATACTAGATTTTAAGATGATTACAGCGTATATGGTCAATATACCTACTACATCAGCTAACCATGGTGCCTTGGCATTTGGCATATATGGCTTTAATGTATTCCATCTGCAAGCTGCAAGCACAGTAAAAGATGCACATTCATGCAAAGTTCCATAGTTTTTCTAATTTTTCCCAATGAAGAACTCTGGGATTGCAACACCCAGTACAGGTGGGTCAACCAATCATTTTTTTCAGTTCAACACTGAAGTTAAGCTCTTACCAGATAAGGTCTGGTCATATGGAGCATTGGCTCCTACTATGCACTTTTTCCACATCTGAGGCCACTCATCATAAGACATCACAAACATAAAATCACAGGAATCAGCGATCCCACTATAGTTGTAACATCTGTTGTTTATGCATCTTGGAGACCAAGCTACATCAAAAGTTACCTGCAGGAGAATGAGGAACAGATGTCTCTCATTCACTTTGAAAAGGACATTCTCTGTATAAACACTGTTTATTAGTATTATAGTAACTATACAAAATTTCAATGTACACAAAATATTTAACCAATAAAAAGTATAAGTTAAACAAAGTTATACCTCAGGTAAAGCATTATCAAAACTATTCACACCTGTTTTTCCCCAACATAAAGGCATGCCATTTCTTCTGAATGCATGTTTGCTCACACATATATTCTCTTAGATTCAATTAAGCATAGCACTGCAGCATACTGTTATTTTCACTTTAATCTCCCAGAATTTGAATAACCATTTCTGCACCAATAATCTATATTTGTGTCTTTCCAGTCTAGCTGTATGCATTTTTGTTATGAACAGCATCCTTCATACAGGTTTATACAAGAGACCAGGAAACAATCTGACAGAGTACTAACAGAGATATCTAAAGAATGAAACAATTATTTCAGAAATGGTTATGACTTAACTGACAGTTTAAAGAGGTTGGTTGGTTAGTCAGTTGTCATTAAGTTGTTTGTTTTCACAGATTCTATTTTCTGAGAATTAAGGTATAGGCTTTGCAAAAAAAAAAAAAAGCGGCAGTTTCACACTTCAGGTATTTCAGAAAACAGAATGACAGTTTACAATTTTGATGATGCCTATGACTGCGAATTTCTTTTAAAACACTGTACTTCAATCTGTACAGCAGCAAAATGTTAATCTGTGAGAATATGAATGCAAAATAATCTACGCATAATTGTCAGCATACTATACAACGAAATGCTTTGAGTTAAACACTATGTGCAGCACTTTCCTTGAAAATGAGGAAAGCACATCTAAGGATAGGCCTGCACAAGCCATCGTGCCTGAGACCATGCATCTATCCAGACCAGTACTGCTGACACTAACTGGCAGCAATCCTCCAGGATGTGAGGCAAAAGTTCTTCCAGCCCTACCTGGAGATGCTGCTGAACCTGAAACTTCATGCATGTTAAGCGTGTTTTACCACCAAGCAACAACCCATCCCACTAATTCAGTTGCAGCTCACCAGTCAGGTATGGTAACCCATCTGGAGCTCCAAAAATCTCGATAGATTACTACATTATAACCCTTTTTTTCCTTCAAAGAACTCAAAGCAACTTGCATAATTCTCCTCCTCCTCCTAATCTTATTTTCACAACAACAACAACAACAACCCTGTGAGGTAGGTCGGGCTGAGAGTCTCAGTGCTCCAAAGTCACCCAGTTGGCTCCATGGCTGAGTGGGGACTAGAACCCAGATCTCCTGAGTCCCAGTCCCACACCTTTAACCAGGGCACCACACTGTATCATCAGCCATTTGATGCCAGCAGGACTTTAACGGAGTTGTCAACTACCTGGCAAGATGCAATGCAGTATTTTTAGTATTCTGTTTTGTTTTTAACAATGACTTCCCACCTTTACTTTTTTAAACTATTTATAAGAACTAGTTGTTCAGTGCTGAATATGTGTAGCTGCAATCTCCATTAATTGCCAGATGAGCACCAAACCATCCTAAGAAAGCAGACTCACACTGGAAATAAAATAGTATCTCTGGAAGGCTATTCAGGCCTAACTTTTTCTTTATAGATTTTATACTTTACCTTTCAGTGTGAACACTCTCAAAATATGGTACATACAGTCAATATTAAATAAACGGCAATGTCAAAGTATTCAGAATAGAATCATAAAGAGAGAAGCAAGTGCAATCTTAGGCACATCTACTCCTATATAAATCTCATTACCTTTAATGGGGCTTACTGCAAGGAAAGTGTATGTGACGGGGTGGCCAGAACTGCTCAACAGAAGAGTCACACACGGTAAATGTTTGTGAGCCACAAAAGGATGCCCGTGGGTGGTGGTGGCAAGCAGTGGGTGGCAAATGGGTGCCCACGGGCACTAACAGCAGCAGCGAACTGCGGAATAAACTCAAAAAGCCGCCTGCCACTCCCGAGCCACGGTTTGGCCATCCCTAGTTTACAGGTTTGCAACCAATAAAAGGACCTTCATTCCCATTAAAACCATTAGGACAAGACAGGACTTTGCTATGCACCCGAACATAACATAAATAGTGCCAGACAAAGTTTTTAAAGGAGGAAATTCTATAATTTGTGCATCACTACAGAGAAGGATCTACCCCTGGGTAACTGAATTATTACATGTTTCTGAGTGTGTGTGTGTGTGTGTGTTGGTAAAAAGCCACAATAGTGTTCTAGATATCAGAAAATTACACTAAAGTATAACACAATTAAACCAACACACATGCCAACAGCAGCTTGTTTACCTTAGGGCATGCCTGCATAACTTTTGATCTACTTTGATGACTGCAATCCCAGAGTGATTATTTATTTATTTAACTTTTATATTGTTTTTTGATAGACTCACCAATGTAGTATGAATAAAATTATAAGAAATTTGTGATCACAACTGTAAATGGTATCACAAGGAGCTTTTAATCTCATGCACTGGGGGTTTGTGAGGGGGGTGAAATTTGCTAATACAGAAATGAACTAGCATTTGTGAGAGAAGTATTTGCTTTATTTTTACCTGTGATCCTGGAATTTCTTTGTGGAATTTTTCAGTTGTTTCTTTAACCAGGGCTGTTAATGCGTAATATTTGGCGGAAGCCTTTTTAACCCCTTGTTCAATATCCATATTTATTCCATCCATATACTGCTTCTTGGCCAGGTCCAACTTTTCCTTTATCCAGGCTGCTCGGTATGCAGGGTCAACGATTTTCTTCAAGGATACATCTCCTAAAAAATAATTGAGGAATTAATTATCCCCATACTACTGGGTGAGGTCATTCAGAGGTGTGGGCTGACGTGTCGCCAGTATGTTGATGATACCCAGCTCTACCTCACCTTTTCATCAGACCCAGGTGAGGTGGTAGCTGTCCTGGACTGGTGCCTGATTTCAGTAATGGGTTGGGTGAAGGTCAATAAACTGAAGCTGAATCCATACAAGACAGAGGGGCTGTTGGTGGGCACGCCTGCCCTCCAACTAGGAAATTTTCAACCTATCCTGGATGGGGTTGCACTCTCCCTAAAGGATAAGGGGCTTAACTTAGGAGTGCTCCTGAACTCCAAGCTCTTCCTGGTCACCCAGGTGGGCTCAGTGGCCAGGAGCACTTTTCTTCAGCTTCAGCTGACCTTTCAGCAACATTTCTACTTGGATGAGTGGAGCCTTGCCACAGGGATTGCTGTAATGCGCTCTACATGGGGTACCTTTGAAAACGGTCCAGATGCTAAAACTAATACAGAGCAGGGTGGTACGGCTGCTTACAAGGACCAGCTGATGAGAACACATCATGCTGGTCCTCTGTCAGCTGCACTGGTTCCCTGTTGCAGTCCAGACCCAATTCAAAGTGCTGTCTTTGACATATAGAGTCCTAAATGGCTTGGGAGCAGGCCACCCGAGGGAGTGCCTCTCTCCATATATTCCTATCCACCCACTTACATCCTCCCCCAAAGTCCTCCCCTGAATGCCCCTCCATCAGTGAGATCAAAGGGGAAAGGGCTAGGAGGGGGGCATTTTCTGCAACGGTGCCCAGACTCTGGAATTCACTCTCCGGGGATGTATGGCTGGTGTCACCTATGCTTTCCTTTAGACATCAGGTAAAAACATTTTTGTTCACACAAGCTTTTGGTTAATTTAATTTATAACTTATATTTTTATCATTTAATTTTGGCCATTAATTTATTGGTTGTATTTTGTCATGTTGTGTACAGTTTTATGTAATTTTATTTTGCGAGATGGTTTAATAATTTACTAATTTTGTTTATATTTGTTTTATCCACTTTACCAATTGTATATGCTGTTTTCAGCATTTGCAAGCCACCCAGAGAAACCTTGGGTTATGGGGCAGCATAGAAGTGGAATGAAATAAATGAATAAATAAATAAATATTTTTGAGATCACGCTGATCCTGAACATGTTTGCTCGGAAGCATATCCTCTTTTCCCAACCTACCTCATGGGGCTGTACCTCTGAGGATAAACTAGAGTTCTGCATATTGCCCTGGGTTCCTCACAAGAGGAAGAAGGCCAGCATATAAATGCAATGTATAATAATTTGGATTCAATGGTCTCCCACAGATTTTTTTAAATAAACCATAGTGCTTAGATTTTTTTCAGAGGGTTCTAGTCCCTACCCTCTAGCCATGGAGTCAGATGGGTGAATTTGGACCAACCACAGACTCAGCCCAACCTACCTCACAGGGTTGTTGTTGTAGGGATAAGACTGAGAGCAGGAGGAGAATGATGAAAAGCCACTCTGAGTTCTTAAAAAGAGGGATATAAATCAAATAAATAGGCTATGTTAAGAATAGTTAGAAATCAAGCAAAATTACTATCTTGTTACAAAAGTCATGTGCGGACGAGCACAAGAAGAAACCCCAAATGGCGATGCACATTCTGCATCTACATCCAATCTGCTCGCTATGACCATTTCTAATATGGTTGTAGATGTGCCTCCAAATGTACCGTCAAACCTCAACTTTTGTGGGTTTAACTTTCATGGCTTTGATTAATTGCAATTTTGTTATCAATAATTATGGGGATTTTTTTAAAATTGTGTGGCCCACTGCAGAAAATCACAGACAATGTGCATAGACTAAAAATGTAAAGAAAATATTTGTGGGGATTAGGGACAAAGGGCCCTTGTGAAAGTGAAAAAACTAGGAAGATCTCAAGTCTTGCCTCCAAAACCTTAGCTCTTAACACTGTTAAACATACTGAAGTGCATAGCACAGTTCTTTAGCTCACTGAAACTTTTTACAAAATTTTTGCAATGTAATAGTTTGGGGATAATTTTCTTGTCACATGGGGGAGGGGGGTACAATCCATTACGATATACAATCCAGTGCACAGTCTAAAGAGATAAGGTTTGGGGGCAGAGCTAGAAATATTCACAGTTTTTCCATTTTCATGGGGGTTCTGCACCATGAATACCCACTAATATGGAAGGCCAACTGTCCATGTGCAGGATTTGTCTGCACAGACCTCTCTTACTGAATTGAAGAGAATGTATTTTACCATATTCCTCTGAGAATTTCCACAAGGGGAAGAATGTGGAATGAACATTCCTGGGAAATACCACCTAAAATATGTTTACAATGTGTGTCCTAAGCAACTAATAGAATTAAAATATTTAATTGAGTAATCAGTCAAAATGTTAAAAAAATTAAAAAAATGTTTACTGATTTACTGTTCAGTAGATTTTAGGCTCAATCTTATGCATGTTTAGAGAGAATGATACTGGCTGAGGAATGTCAAGAGTTGTAGGATTTTTTCCTATCTAAACATGAATGAGACACTTTAAAGCTATTTTAATATGAATATGCACACATCTCCTCAGCAGGGTGCAAGGATAAAAGCAGCCCTGTCCATTTTCTGCAACATAGGTGAGAATGACTTTCCCAAGATGATGCCTGCTAGGAGATGTATGTGCATTGTCCCGAAACAGGTGCGCTCTCTCTGGGCATTATTAGTTTCCATCCAAAGTTTGGAAAAATTATGAGACTAATCAAGCTGAATGCACTAAGATTTCTTTAACTGAGGGATAGTCCAAGTTTATATAGCTGCTTCTCAAGACTTACTGGGAAGTTCTACTGAAACTACAGGAGTCTTCTGCATAAAAGAATTTGGATAGATAAGAGGATACAACATATTTTGGAGCACATGCCTCTAAAGGTTGCAAGTTTCAAGAGACAGATTGCCAAACTTATTTGCGATGGGGCAGCATATAAGTTGTTAGTTGAATGAATGAATGTTTACTCATCCCCTTATGGCCAAGAGAACTAGACTGACCCGAGACTGGTGCTACAATTTGGTGGCACAGCTTATTCTCATACACGCCAGTTAAATTGTAATACCAATGACAGTATTCCTGCCTAACTATTAAGGTTGCAGTTTTAGACACACTTTATGAAAGTGTCCCTATCTTTGTGTGTCTTACTTTCAAGTAAAACTTAACCAGAATCAGGCTGCATGAAAAAGAGTTTATTCCTTTCATTGAAACATACCATGTAAAACTACCCTAGATCCTTTTGAATGGGCATAGCACATAAGCTCAGGGTCATATTTTCCAAAACATGTCACCGTTGTAATTTGTGACCAGTCATAGGACTTCCAGTTCTTTCCACCAACATCAAATACAAAGACCTGCAAAGGCACAACAACAAAAAAATGGCACTCTTGTTCTCTTAATATTGCTCCTGCTATATCTTGATATGTTTGTACTAGCCTCATTTAAATTAGGTAATTTGGTTTATATGACAGGCAAACCTTCAGTCAGTCAGAACATCCTGCAATAAACATGAGTAAATGCAAAGTTTAAAGTATTCTTAATTTGTAAAATTTACATGTAACAAATAGTGAAATGCTTTTCACTATGTTTATTTATTTAAAGTTTTTAATAGGGTCAATTAAAAACAATTAAAAACAAAATATCAAGACAGTTTACACAGAGTAGTTTTCCTAGTGCTAGAATATTCCAAAGTATGTCCCCTTTGCCATCTTGAGTCATCACTCTGCCTCTACACTGACATTTAACTGCACTTACATTTAAAATATCCTTTCGTCTAGTGCTTTGTTATAAAAAGTTGGATCAGCTCGTTAACACGGTGAAGCCCTGAGGTGCGCTTTAGCCTTTTTCCAGAACAGCACCCCCACCGCACCCGCTCTAGGGTTTTGCGACCGGCAGAAATGCAGCAACGACGGGGCTGAAGTTCAGCGATGAAGCACGCGCTCCGCCCGCGGAGGCCCCTGGTCCAACCCCAGCTATCTCAAGGCGGGGTCGGGGAAGTCTCTTCACAGCAACGCTGGAGAGCTAAAGCCCGCCGGCGTGGGCAGTTCTGAGTTCGAGGCACCGGTGGTTCGCGGCGCCCTGTGCTCCTGTGGAAGCTTCTTCCGTGCTAGAGAAGCAGCGGCGGGGAGACCCTCCGTGGCTACCCGTCTACTTACTGGGTAGCTTTTAACCACGCAGCTCCTAACACAGCCCAGCACTGATAAGGCACGTGCAGCTCTCGCTCAGCTCTGGAAAAAAATCAGCGCGAAATTACGGCAAGCGGCCGCGAGACGCCCACCGTCTCTAGGGACGTGCCTTCCCCACCAATCCCCTTCTCAATAAGCTTGTTTGTTTGCCTTCCCGTAAAGGGCCATTGCGCCTGCGCACCTCGAATTCCCTGCTGGCCGTGATGGGGCGGCAGAGCGCGGGTTCGTGACATGGGCATGCGCTGGAGGCCAAGCTCAGCAACAGGAGAACGAAGGCTCCGGCGCCGCTGCCGAGCAGCCTGTGCATATCGAAGGTCCTCACCGGCCTCAGAGCAGCCGCTTTGTCGCATTCATATCGTACGTCCCCCCCTCCCGTCCCCCGCTGTCAGCCTATGGGAAGTGAAAGGAAAGCGTTCTGTCTCGGGCGCCATGCAACCGGTGTAGACTTTACAGTTGGGACCGATCGTTCCATCGTCAGCTAAAAGGGCATTCCTGACCTCTGCGGGCCATTTTCTCCTCACCTGTTGAGTTGGACTGACAACGATGGAGAAGTCCAGGGCTTGTCAGTGTAGCTGTTGACAAAGCACCTGTGTCCCATGCCTTCCCCATCTTAGAGACAAGGTCAGGAGTTCATACCTTCCCTAAGTAACTTTTGTTTTTAAAGTGTGTGAACCGCACATTGCAGGGGTTGGGTAAAGTTTTGGGTGGGTTCACAAGGGACAGACTGTGACAACCATGGGATATGTATGTTCTGCTGTTAGTATCACACACAAGAAGTGGGGTGAAGCAGTGAAGTTACTTAATGCAGTGAAGTTTGGGGTTACAATTATTCCCATATTGGGGGGGGGGAGATCCTGAAGCCACTGAAGCCAAAAGAGTAGCCTAGCATAGTTCCCTGCTAATGCGTGATCCAAAACACTGTAGCCTACCTTACTGTAAACCTACCTCACTGAGAACAGTAAGGTTGTTAGAGGGTATGTAACTGTTTATTAGAGTTATATCCTATGTTTTTCTTACAAAGAACTCAAGGCAGCTTCCATCATACTCTTCTTCCTGCTCTCAAGCTTATCCCTACTACAACCCTGTGAAGGAGGTTGGCCTGAGAGTCTGTGACTGGCCCAAAGTTATGCAGTTGGCTCCATGCCCAGCCCAGGCCTAGAACCCAGTTCCTCTGAGACCCTGCCCTGTGCTTTTAACCACTACATCACACTGGCTCTCTTTGCTTCCCTCAGCCTGTCACTTTCAGATGGTATCTGACTGGATTTTCAGCAAAATAAATATCTCATTTAAAATATGGGATATTAAAATAAGCTGTTAGAAAATATTAAAATATGGGGTACTAATATACATTACATTATCCTGCAATGTGGAGAAGACAAACTTTAAAAACTGGAAAATTAGTCCCATGGCATTTAATAGCCTATGTGTGCACAGGTTGGAAGCCAGGTTTGTAGCAAAGGTAAAACTTAGTATCACTGCTCCCCTAGTTTCCCCAAGCTGAATTCAGACCTGTCTTGCGGCAGTAAAAGAAACACTGCTTATAATTGAAACTGCAAGCAGCCAGGGACTGTGCATCCATCACAGGTCTGCAGTCTTCCCCTAGTGCCACTCAGTGTTTCCATATCTGTTTCAGGCTTTGTAGGTTGATAGAAATTTGGCAAGAGGAGGGATTTTCTTTACGGGGAGATTTGTCAGCGAACAACAGACAGGAAGCAAGGCGTTAGAGAGACAACATTATTCTTGATCCATCTGCATTTGTTATTCAAAACCATGCCATTGTATACAGCTTCAGTGTAAAGTTGAAAGCAAGTTAAAGCAGTCAAACCATGACTGCTTACATTACACTCTGTGTGTGTGTGTTGTAAAAATCTTTGAAGATGGGCTATAGCTCAGTGGTGGAGTAAATTCAATGCCTGGCATCTGTAAGCAGCACTTGTCTCGGGAGTTGGGGTTTCTCGGTTGCTGTGGACTATATTGTTGCTGCTGTCCAACTTCTCTTCCCCCTCCCTTCCCCCATTTTACCCTGTTTTTCTCCCTTTTAAATTGTATGTTTCACCACCCTCCACCCCTATATTTTATTCTGGGGTGGGATTTTGCCCACTTGGACAGGGAAATGAGGAATCCCTAATGGCTTTCCATTACAACAGGCAGTGGTTAAAACAGGGGTGGTCACCCCATGGCTACTATGTAGCACTCTGCTCCTCTCCATGCCGGTAGTGAGCTCCACACATTTTTTGGTGCACATAGGGAATATTTCTTTCATAGTGATGGAATTGGGTTCACCTGTTCCACAGATCAGAGTACAGCACCAGCAAGAAAAGAAAGCTTGGTGAATATTTTTTGCAATGTAATATATTTCTGTCATGAACTAGAGAAAGCTCTTGTTCTAGAAATGACCTCCGGGGATTGGTGTGGAATTTGGAATTATATTTTGTGTCTGCATAGCTTAGGGAGGGCTGGAGATAGCTTATGTATTGGTTTCTTGGAGGTACAAAGAACAGGGCAGTGGATTATCATTGCTGTGATGTATGATGGCGGGAGAAGGATAGTTATCTGCACAAGAAGGGAGGTTATACATTTAATCACTATCACTCCCAGTTCTCCTGAATCTACGAATTCTTGGTGGGCATGCTCTTAACTCTCCAGGTCTATAGTTTTTGATACTAAATGGCAGATCTATTAAGGAGATGGAAAGAGATATATGTTAAGATATATAACATCATTTCTATTTGGTGACACAAATGTATTAAATGGGAAATCAAAACTGTAACTTAAAGACTACATAATAGAAAAAAAGTTGAAAAGTTACATGTTCTCCTGAAATCAGTTTGGTTTCAAGGCCTCCCACATGGCCTGGGTTTGCTCTTGTGCTACAGAGCTGCCAGAATAGTCAAGGCAATCTGCATTCCACATACCCACACCCCTTAAGGCACGATCTTTTGCATAAGCTGCCTTCAGAGAGATACTCCTTGGATCATCAAACCATACTTGATGAAATGCACCATGTGAATCCTGCAAGTGAAACAAAGAGAATATAGTGACATGCTTTCCATATTCTTTCCAAACAAATCCTACAGTTTAGGTGTTCCGTGTACCTAGGAAAAACCCCTGGAACTTCACAGATGAGGGCTGCACTGAAAACATATATCAGTCAATAGACAAATGTGTTTTTATGAAATAATGATATCTAAAGATTTTTATTACTATTTTGTTTGGTTTATTTGTTGTCTCAGTTATTTAGCACATATGGATAGAAGAACATGAGGATAAGCTGAGTTTCATATTGTGTTAGCCAAGCATGTATGAGGCGGAATTATTTGGGGCATTGGGAGGGAAGGAAGAATGGATTACAGGGACTTTATCCCTGGATGCACCTATAATCTATTTTCCATCAATTGAGGCTAGGCCAAATATGCCTGTATAACTTTGACTTTGTGCCATTGGCCCCAATTAATTGCAACTTTTCAATATTTTTTCCTAATGGATTGACAAGGCTACTTTCTTTTTTGGTGTTGTATTTGTATAAATAAATGCATAAATAACCTCTAGAAAGTAATCTTGATAACAGCTTACTTTGTATTCCAGAAATGGGGCTTTCTGTTCTTCATCCCATAGGATCCCAGAAAGAGAACTATTTTCCTGATTCATTATTTTCTTATAAGGAACTTGACGTCCTGCTGCATCACTGCAAGGAGCCCCTCTGAAAGGGGTTTTTGAAATGGAACAAACATGGTCCTGAAGAAAGGCAGTTCATGTTACAAATATATATTAAAGGCTTAAGAAGGGATCATTATAAAAACAATGCCCACAAGAATAAAGTGAGTAAAAAAGTAGTTAAAATTGCTGTCTTTTTCTTACCTTAGATAAGTCTAGACAGGTATAATCATAGCCATACCATGGAACACCCATCACCAGTTTCTTTGGATTGATTCCCAAGCGAATATAATTGTCATAGCCTAATTTAAAAAATTAAATGTAAACCTAAGTTTAAACATTTACCCATGTGCTTTTTGTTCTTATTTATTTTTACATTTCTGCTGCTACACTTGTAACATCAGCAAGCTGGAGGCGATTGAGGTAGACATACAAGATACAACTATGTCTACATGGATCTTCTATGGGCAATTGCCTCTTTGTAGAACAGGATCTTGTTCTTTATTTTTTTAGTGATTTAAGTGCAATCCTCTTCATGTTTCCTTTTGGCTCTGGCCTCTTGGCAGAGCAGCAGAGGCACAGGCTGGGAGAGAGGGCTGAGTGGCCAGGGGACTGGCAAAGGCAAGGGAGGAGCTGGGCAGGGGAGCAGAGGGCCAGGAACAGCGGAGAGGAAGGGGGCGGGGCCAGAGGGGCTAGAGGGGCCAGGAGGAAGCAGGGGGCGGGGCCACCAGCCTGAGGGACTGATAAGGCGTCATCCCTTGGCTGCGGCCCGGGCTGTCCAGGGACTCCCTTCCCTGGGATGCAGAGGGGTTGTTTTTTTGTTTTGTTTTTTGCTTTTGCTTTTGCTTTTGCTTTTGCTTTTGCTTTTGCTTTTGCTTTTGCTTTGCTTTGCTTGTTCGTTTGTTTGTTTGTTTGTTTGTTTTGGTGCTGTGCTTTGCTTTGCTTTGTTTTCCCTCCAATTTAAATTTAAGTTTATTTTATAAATTTAAGTTTATTTTATCCTTGTGTGTGCGCGCGAGTGGGTTTTTGTCTGGGAGAACTGGGCGAGTGAGAGGAACTACAGAGCTAACAAGACAGGGGACCAAGGTAAGGTCTCGGAAGGGATCCCAGTGGCAGACCAGGAGATGGCCTTGGTGGGAGTCACGGGTGTTGCTGTCTGCTGCGACATGTTCGCCCTTCTCCCCCAGGAGAGGCAGGGTTACACTTGCCCTCAGTGCAAGCTGGTGACCCTGCTAGAGGAGGAGGTGAGGTGCCTGAGGGCCGAGAGAGCTCTCCAGGCCCCCCAGGAGCAGCCCCCCTCTGGACAGAGGGTTGAGGGAGAGGCCACGGGAGAAGCAGCTGCGGAGACATGGAGGTATGTCACCCACAGGAGGAGGAGGCCAGCACGGCCTCCTCCTTCTCCTGGCACCAATCTGGAGCTGGGAAACAAGTTCTCTCCACTTGGGGAGGCTGGTGCTGATGAGGCCTCGGGGGACCAGCAGGACCCCCAGCCTGGGGTGTCAGGTGGCAAGGGGGCTGCTGCAGGAGAGGTGAGGACCAGGGCACAGCTGCCCACCACCACCAGGAAGACACGGCGGCGGGGACTCCCTGCTGAGGGGCACTGAGCCGGCGGTGTGCCGCCCCAACCTGGAGACAAGGGAGGTTTGCTGCCTGCCGGGCACACGCATCCAGCATGTGAAGGACAGAGTGGAGCATCTTGTTCGCTCCGGGGGTCACCAGTCGCTCCTTGTGATCCATGTGGGCACAAACGACATGGCCAGGCAGGGTGTGGTCAGGATCACCAGGGACTTCAATGCCTTGGGGAAGAAACTCAGGGAGTTAAAGGCCCAAGTGGCCTTCTCATTAATCTTACCGGTTCAGGGATTTGGGCCAGAAAGGGACAGGAGGGCCTCCGAGGTGAACGACTGGCTTAGGGTGTGGTGCCAGAAGGAACGCTTCGGGTTCCTCGACCACGGCACTCGTTTTCTTGCCAATGGACTTCTGGCAAGGGACGGGTTACACCTCACGAGGATGGGGAAAAGGTCCTTTGGAGATGCTCTAGCGAGCTTCATCTGGAAGACTTTAAACTGAGCCGGGGGGGGGCGGGTTCAGTCCCCCCAGAAACTTGTCTGCACTGGACAAGTGTGGGGAGAGGACCAGGGCTCTGGGAGCAGGGTTTTAGAAGTACTGCAGGGACTGACAGGACTCCTACAGAGAGGGGCCAGGTACCAGGGAGGATGGGAGGAAGGAGGAGGCTGGGAGCTCCAAGGAAAGGAAGCGGTGGGAAGGAGTTGAGGTGCATGTACACCAATGCTAGGAGCATGGGTAATAAGCAGGAAGAGCTTGAAGCTCTCCTGGGAATAGGAAGGTATGACCTGGTGGGAATCACAGAAACTTGGTGGGATGAAGGGCAAGTCTGGAATGTGAACATAGAAGGGTATCACCTTTTTAGAAAGGACAGGAAGGGAAAGAGGGGTGGGGGCGTGGCTTTATACAACAGGGCAGGGGTAGGATGCAGTGAGATAGAATGCAGCACAGGTGGGGATTCGGTAGAGGCAGTCTGGGTGAAACTTAGGGGTTTTGACAGGGAAAGAGACCTGACAGTGGGGGTATGTTATCGCCCTCCAGGTCACCTTGATACCCTGGATGATGTCCTGACAGGCCAGATCCTAAGGATATCTTGGGGGAGGGACACAGTAATTATGGGAGATTTCAATCTCCTGGATATTAGTTGGGAGACTCACTCGGCAGTGACAGCCAGGTCACATCGCTTCCTAGAAGCTATAGAGGGAGGGTTTTTCACACAGAGGGTCCGAGAGGCGACGAGAGGGGGAAACATCCTTGACTTGGTTTTGACCAATAGGGAGGAGCTGATAGATGATGTACAGATTAGGGGAGCTCTGGATGCGAGTGATCACTCCATCCTTTGCTATGAGATCAGGGGAATGGGGACATGCAGCAGGTCGAGCACTAGAAGCTGGGACTTCAAGAGGGCCAACTTTGGCCAACTGAAGGCCAGACTGGGGAAAGTCTCCTGGGATAGGTTACTGGAAGGTAAGCGAGTTGAGGAGGGGTGGATAGCACTCAAAAGGGAGGTTTTGGAGGCACAAGCCTTGACGATACCTCTAGTCAGTAAGGTGGGGAGGCGGAGGAGAGTGCCGCCATGGATGCGAAAGGAGGTGGTTAGAGGGATTAGACGAAAGAGGAACCTCCGTAGGAAATGGGTACTGGGGCAAACAGACAAAAGGGTATACCGGGAGGAGGAGGCCTGTTGCAGAAGGATTCTTTGCAAGGCTAAGGCTGATTACGAGCTGAGACTTGCCAAGAATAACAAGAGCAACAAAAAGGGCTTCTTTCCACATGTAAATAGGAAGAGGAAGGGGAGTCAAGTGGTGGGACCACTAAATAAGGAGGAAGGAGATCCAGTGACTGATATGAGGGAACAGGCACAGAAGCTAAATGACTATTTTGCCTCTGTGTTCTCCCCAAAGCAGGACGGGGATATCTTCATAGGAGATTAGATGAGGCTGGGGACTTAGGGGCACAGATTAGAGTACCTTGAAGTCGAGGGGCTCCTCAGGGCATTGGACATTACAAAGGCGCCAGGCCCTGGCAGGTTACACCCAAGAGTACTTAGAGAGTTCGCAGGGGTTCTCTCACGCCCGCTGGCCTCCATTTTTGAGGCCTTGTGGAGAATGGGTGAAGTTCCAGAGGACTGGAGGGTGGCATCAGTGGTCCCAATTTTCAAAAAGGGTAGTAGAAGTGACATGGGGAATTATAGACTGGTTAGCCTTATGTCCATTGTAGGAAAAACAATGGAAAGGCTCATAATAGAGAGAGATCTAGTGATGCTAGATAGGGAAGGGAGGCTGACAGCCACACGACACGGCTTCCGCAAAAACAGGTCCTGCCAGACAAACCTTGTGGAATTCTATGACAAGGTTTCGAGATGGCTAGATGGAGGGAATGCAGTGGATGTGCTATACCTGGATTTCAGCAAGGCCTGACATGGAAGAAGGGGTGAACAGTCTGCTGATCAAATTCGCAGACAACACTAAAACTGGAGCAGTGGCCACAACTGAGGAGCAGGTACTCCAGATCCAAAAGGATCTGGACAGACTATGGAAGTGGGCAGGAGACAACAGAATGGCGTTCAATGTGGTTAAGTGCAAGGTCTTGCACTTGGGGCATAGGAATAGCTGTCATAAGTACAGGTTAGGTGACAAGTGGCTGGAGAGCAGCCCTTGTGAAAGGGACCTCGGGGTACTGGTTGACTGCAGGGTAAACATGAGTCAGCAGTGTGATGCGGTGGGCAAGAGGGCGAACGCCACCCTTGGTTGTATAGCCAAAAGTGTGGCTTCTAGATCAAGAGAGGTATTACTACCACTGTATACGACTCTGGTGTGCCCGCAACTGGAGTATTGTGCTCAGTTTTGGGCCCCTCCTTACAGAAAGGATATAGCCAGGTTAGAGTCAGTGCAGCGTAGGGCCACAAGGTTTGTGGCTGGTTTGCAGGGGATGGGGCATGTGGCGAGACTGAGGGAACTGGGTCTCTTCAGCCTGGAGAAGGGGAGTCTCAGAGGGGATATGTTGGCGACATACAGGTATGTGAGGGGATGTCACATGGAGATGGGTAGAGACCTGTTCTCCCCTGCAGAGGAAGGCAGGACACGCTCCAACGGAGCAAAGGTCGTTGAGGCCCCATCGGTGAGGGTGTTCAAAGATAGGCTGGACATGCACATGATGGGCATGTCGTGAGCAGAGCCAGCTGGTGCTGGAGGTCAGACTAGATGGCCCAGGAGGCTCCTTCTGACTCGGTCTGTTTCTATGTTATATACAAAAGTCCTACAAATGCCAGCATTTCTAGCTACAGTATATTATATACTGTGGACAGGTAAACTTCTCAGATCCTCTTTCCTGCCTCAGATTCCTTCATTTTCTACAATATGCAAAGAAATGGGTTTATATACTGGCAAAAGAGTAGAGAGTTTTATTTCAATCTCTCCTCTGAAGGGGGGAGATAAAAATAAATACTCAGAATCAGAGGTTATTGACATTTTAAGAACTGATAAAAGAAAAACTTGGCAACCTACTATTTTTGAGGTTAGACATTTAATCAGAGTTTGAGAATGGCTGTCAGGAAAATAATCTGATGGAAAACAGTGATTTTCAGAGGAGATAAAATTTATTAATTGTCAGAAATGTTACTATTATTTATATGATGAAATGGCAGAGAGTTTTCCACCTTTTTCTTTAACAGTAAAGTCTTTGCTGACTCTACTGGCACTTGCAGACCTGCAGTCGGCAATCCAGCAGCATTATTCACAGGCAGCAGAACAGCCCAATGAAAATAATGCCACATGTCTCCTGAATGACTCCATTACATCTTTATCACACACTGTTTGTTTGTTTGTTACATTTCTATACCACACACTGGTCAAAGCTCTCAGCACTTTACAAGACAAAGCTGAGACGTATAAAATACATCAATGTAGTAAAACATAATATAAAACCTTTTGTTTAAACAGAATAAAAACAAAGCAGTAGCCAAGGTAAAAGTCTGCAGCAGTTCAAAGATCTAAAAAGGAACTAAATTTTTAAAACTGAAGAGCTAAAAAGCCTGAGAAAATAAAAAGATCACCTGAAGCCAAAAAGACCACAATGTACGTGCCCGACAAGCCTTTCTGAGTAGATTATTCCACAGCTGTGCTGTCACCGCTAAAAGGCCCTCTGCTCAGTAGCCACCCAGCTCACCTCATCTGGTAGAGGCACTTGATCTAAGGTATATGGAAAGGGATGATCTTTTGGGAATCTTGGCCCCAAGCCATTTGGAACTTTCTAAGTTATTACCAGAACTTGGATTTTGGCCTGGAAATGGATTGGTAGCCAGTGCAGATCAAAAAGCTCTGGCCAATATAATGATGCAGTGTCAGGAATTTTATGATCTACGCTGGCAGCCTTCCATTTTCATATCCATTTAATCCTGCTTCCTTATTTCAGACAGGTTGAAATTTCCAAGCCATTCTCAATGGCAGCCTCAACATACTGCAGCGTTCCAAATGACAGATTACCAGAACATAGATAACTAGCTAGGCTATCTGTGTCCCAGTGAGATTGCAGTAGATATATTGGCCTAAGCTAAGGCTCCATATCTCTGAGGCCACCTGTGCCTCCAATGGCAGTGCTGGAATTAACAGCACCCCTAAAATATGATCCTGGTCCCTTGGGGGAGTGCAACCCCTTCCAAAACAGGTTGAATGTCACTTGACGGGGCAGAAGAACCATGCACAGAGGTTTCTTTGTCTTATCTGAATCGAACTTCATTATATTGAGCCTCATCTAATCCATTAGTTCACCCAGACACTAACACACCAAGCAGGCCGTATTGCTGCAATGTCTTTTTTCCAACAATGTACTGCATCATTATGTAATGCCATTCCTACTGGACCATTCAGTCGTCCAAAGGAGGATGGCCACTAGACTGTGATGGCAACTTTTCTGCCATTTGAAGTGAAATTGAAGTGTTACACTGAAGAAAAAAGGTGGAAAATGCTCTGTTGCTTCATCTTGTAAGCAGTGATAACAGTCTGTCACCCTAATAGATTTACACTACCCCTGAAAAGTGGCCAAAAATGTCTCATCATGTTTGTAGGGAAATAAGAGCCTTTAAAAAATATTACAATAATGATTTTCTATTTTAAGCAATGTATCTTACTTTTTCCCAGCTTGTAAAAATGAGAATATGCTTAGCTACTTTGGTAGGTTGCAGCTCCATCCCAAACACTGTTCAGGTGCTACTGACATTTGAAAAGTTAAGAGCAAACACGTATGTGTCTATGCATGCTCTCAGCTATATCAGTAAAGCAGCCTGGTAGTTATATTTTATAGTTCATAAATGAATCAAACAGACCAGTGATAGGAAATAAATTATACGATGCAAGAACAATTCTCTGTAAGCTACTTTCCGAGAGTCTTTTTGACTGAAGAATGAGGTACAATAGTGAGTTTGATGTTGCTCAACTAGCAAAGTCTGTGTGATATCGTGGTTAAGAGTGTTGTACTGGGACTCAGGAGGTCTGGGTTCTAGTCCCCACTCAGTGATTGAGTGCACTGGCTGACTTTGGGCCAGTCACAGACTCTCAATCCAACCCACCTCACAGGGTTGTTGTTCTGAGGATAGGGTTAAGAAGAGAAGGAGAATTATGCAAGCTGCCTTGAGTTCCTCAAAAGGAAATAGGCAGGATATAAATATAATAAGTAAATAAAGCACATTTAGATTTAATTGAAAAATAAATGTTCCATATATTTAAATCCTTATCTCCACCACTACATTTTTTGCTATTTGTTTTCCCTGAAAGAAAAGGGGGAAAGGGATTTTGATGTCTTCAACATTTCTGCAAATTTTATGTCACTGTTTCTTACCAGCTAATGTCTGGTTGTATGGTGCATTAGCTCTTGCTATGCATTCTGACCACACTTGACTCTGCTCATCATAAGACATTACAAACACAAAGTCACAAGAATCAGCAATCCCAGTGTAGTTGTAACATCTTCCGTCTATACATTCTGGAGACCAGGCTACATCAAAAGTTACCTGTGACAGAAAGAAAAGTACATCACACTCTCTTTTTCTGAATGTGCATTCCTAGCATATGTTTGTGCAGATGCCCATAAACTTTCCTGAAAGAAGTAAATGATACGAAGTTAATCTCAAAAGTGATTGCAAATTGGGATTGCAAATTAGATTTTCTGCAATTTGAAATGGCAGTTCATGAGTTCATTTTAATTATTTCTTGAAAATGTTGTACAGTGGGGAAATATTAATGTTTGGGAATATGAAGCCAAAGTAATTGGAGCATAACTTGACAGCACAATATAAGAAAATATGGTTTGAAATAACAAACAAAAAAGCAGGCCTTCCTTTGGTATCAAATAACAGGTCTGTATAAACTGTCTTGCACCAAGTCGAGTGCAACAGCTTGTCAGGGCAGGAGCCCTCCGAACTTCTTGAGCTGCTGCCTGCACAGATTTCAGATATATTGCCACATAACTGTTGGGCCACAGCACATGATGGGAGCAGGTCACAAGTTATGGAAACCTGACCTAAGATGGGTGGAGTAAGCAGTGGCTAATATACAGTATGTGTTCATCCAACTGAGTTTTGTTTTGATCATGCTACTATAAACTGTACATGACAATTACCTTTAGTCTTAACATTAATTTAAACTTCTTTAGAAAGAAAAAACAAGGCTGAGAAAAAACATCAAAATTGAATACTGTTTTTCAGAAACACCAAATACTACATTTATTTATGTATTTATACTGTTATTTTAATAAAAATATGTATTTTCCAATTAAATAATACACTGGTCAAAGCCAAATTTAGTCATACTAGGAGCTGACCCAATGAAGTAACAGGGCTTATAAGTCATTCCTAACTTCACTCTGATTGATTTCAATAGGTCTATCCTACACATGCCTAAATCTGAATCCAACCTTTGTTGTTGTTCTGACCCCATGGACAACATTCCTCCAGGCCCTCCTGTCCTCCACCATCCCCCAGAGTCCACTTAGGCTCACACCAACTACTTCAGTGACTCCATCTAGCCACCTCATCCTCTGCCATCCCCTTCTTCTTTTGCCATCTATTGTTCCCAGCATTAGGCTCTTCTCCAGCGAGTCCTTCCTTCTCATCAGGTGGCCAAAGTATTTGAGTTTCATCTTCAGGATCTGGCCTTCTAAACAGCTGTCAGGGTTGTTCTCCTCTAGGACTGACTGGTTTGATCGCCTTGCGGTCCAAGGGACTCGCAGGAGTCTCCTCCAGCACCACAATTCAAAGGCCTCAATCCTTCGGCGCTCAGCCTTCCTTATGGTCCAACTTTCACAGCCATACATTGCAACTGGGAAAACCATAGCCTTGACTATATGCACTTTTGATGGCAGGGTGATGTCTCTGCTTTTTAGTATGCTGTCTAGATTTGCCATAGCTTTCCTCCCCAGGAGCAAGTGTCTTTTAATTTCTTGGCTGCAATCCCCGTCTGCAGTGATCTTGGAGCCCAGGAAAATAAAATCTGTCACTACCTCCATTTCTTCTCCATCTATTTGCCAGGAAGTGAGAGGACCGGATGCCATGATCTTAGTTTTCTTAATGTTGAATTTCAAGCCAACTTTTGCACTCTCCTCCTTCACCCACTTCAAGAGGCTCTTTAGTTCCTCTTCACTTTCTGCCATTAGAGTGGTATCATCTGAATCCAATGTAGTGATTCTAAATACAGATCTGACCAACCCTTAATTTGTTTCTAGCATGTGTTTACCAGTGGCCTTAGGATGCTTTGGTGCTGGTTTAGCACCTAAACATATTCTATAATAAAATGTGTGCTCACAAGGGTGAATGTTGTCAGTGAGGAATGGTAGAACCCTATTCCTCATTAGGATTGAGGAATGGTGGAACCCTATTTTCTTGGAACTTCTTCTCAGGACAGATATTTTTGGCTCCCTTTTTTATTTTCTTTCAAGCAGTTCCTAAGAACATTTTTTTTGTTTCTAGTTGCCCCTGTGTGGCATGCAGGATTGATTTAATCATCTATCTTGTTCAGTGTTTAGAATGTTTTGAAACTGAGCCTAGGTCAGTGTTAATGTGCTTTATGCTGCTTTTTGTTTTCCTGGCTTTTGGTGGAGGACCAACTGCTGATGGTTTTAGTAACTGGAAGTTCTGTATTATATGTACTTTTGCATTGTGAGCTTCTTTGAGAGAACATTTGTTTTGAAAAGTAGTGTTTATCTAAAAATGCATATATAAAGAAATGGATGATGTGAAACTGAATAGGAGTCGTTGGTTTATTTTTACCTGTGATCCTGGAATTTCTTTGTGAAAAGCTTCTGTTGTTTCTTTAACCAAAGCTGTTAATGCATAGTATTCAGCTGAAAACTTATTAACTTCTTGCTCAATGTCGATATTGATTCCATCCATATACTGTGTTTTGGCCAACTCCACCTTTTGGTTTATCCAGGCTGCTCTGACAGCAGGATCAACAATTGCCTTCACAGATACTTCTCCTAAAGAACAAGTGTTTGCATTACTACAATGGATGAAAGAAATGTTTTTTCTTTTCACCTCTTAAACTAAGTTTCATCGTGTAACAACTTAACAGGGCTTATGAAAGCACTGGAACTCTCTTCCATGTCCTTGAGTTTGGGGCTGAGTTGGATGGGAGAAAAGAGTGCAATATGTTTTATACTGGAATTCATGCCTCTAAAGATGGTGACCTTCAAAGAGAGACCTCTTAAGGTAGCCTTCCAATGTAGACCAACACATGCGGGGCACCATATTCAAGAAAGCATCATCCCTTTGTGCTCGGTGCAGCATAGCATAAGGGGGATTTCTAGCCTGTTCTGAAACTGGTGGCACAAGGTGGTAGCACTGCTTTCCTATGCAACAGGTAAACTGTAATAGCAATAAAAGTATGCTCATTATTAAGGCTGCAGTCTTATACTCTCTTAATGGGGGAATAGGTCTAATTAAACCCTAACTCTAACTTAATTCCATAGAAACACAGGATCAAGTTCCATATTATTCTCATTATTCTAGTTAGAACACACCTTTTAAAACGACTCTGGATCCTTTAGAATGGGCATAACACATAAGTTCAGGGTCATATTTTCCAAAAGTTGCCACTGTTGTAATTTGTGTCCAGTTGTAGAATTTCCATGTTTTTCCACCAACATCAAATACCAAGATCTGTAGAGATACAGCAAGGATTGTTGGAGGGTTAGCTTTCGCTTCCTGAGCACAAACTGCATGCTTTTGACCGACTGTTAGGCAGGCAATAATTCAAAGACTGTGTACCACTCTGTTTCACTGGCTCAAGCCACAGACCCACAGACCCCTTTAATCCTTTATAGCTGTGCTCACAAGACAAAACACTGCTTCCTGTTAACTAAAACAGTACAATGTGTTAAGAATAAATTCCAGTTTGAAGCTCTCTTCAGTAGCAAATTGCTAAGTGTTACATATGCCCTTTTATTTTCAGTTGTGGATTCCTTTATTCCACTTTCACATTGTTACACTCCAAATTAAAAATGTGTGCTTCTGGACAGGTTTTTATTTTGCAACTGCCTTGCTGCAGGCGATTCCAGACAAAGTCTGCTATTTTTAATCATACTGTGTTACTACTACTTTTTTCTTTCTTTTTCCTTAAGTCGTTTATATTAGTTTATTACAGAACGAACAATAAAAAGACATGAGACACATTAAACTGCATATAATCTGATGCATGATTTAGTGGCCAGTGTCCAATCTTATGACAGAATAAATATACCCGTCCTGAATAGTCCTGTTTCAGGTATGTCTTTCTTTCCGGTAGGGCATTTTTTGCCTTTAATAGTTTCGTGGCAGGCAGAAATTTAACTGGTGGTGCTTTTCCTGGCACGGGGAATGCGGAAGGGGCGCCCCTGAACCGCTCAGTTCAGAGCAGCTCTAGAAGCCAAAGTGCAGCCCTGCCACGGTGCATCGTCCGGGGCGCCGGGCCAAGCGGCGTCAGCCCGCACCAGGGCAAAGCCCTCGGTCCACCAGCGAGGGGCTTCGCGGCGCGTCACGGGCCCGCCCGCGCTCTCCCCGAATCGCGGCGCACTTTTTCCTCCCCACCCCCTGCGCAGTCCAGACGAGACACCGTTGCGCCTGCGCACCTCGAAGTCCCTGGTGGTCGTGATCGGGTTGCAGAGCGTGGGATCCTGGCACGGGCATGCGGCCGAGCCCACGCGCAGCGGGAGGAGGAGGGCGCTGAGCAGGAGGCGCGCGACCCCGCCGCTTGGCAGCCTGTCCATGCGCCTCGAAGGAGCTCCTTGGCTGGTCCCTGGCCGTGACTGGCCCCTGCAGCGTGAGGCTTGGTGAGTCCCTGGCAGGGAGGACGGAACCTGGCGCCGCCCAGAAAGGGAGAGGAGGGAATCTGGCAGAGCGAGGAGGAGGCGGGGAGAAGCCGCTGCGCGCTTGCTGGCGGCTCGGCGCGCCCCTTAGCGCCAGTCAAGCGCATCAGCCTTTGCCGGGTGTCGCTGATGATGGAGGGAAATGTGGGCACAAGCAGGAAAAACTGAGCACATTTAGGACGCACGTACTGACAGATAGCAGCAGTGAATTGAAATGACATCTGATGAAGGTAAAAGAAGAAACTGTAAGAGCAGGTCTGCAGCTGGGTATTCAGAAAACAAAAATCACGATTAGGGAAGATTTATTTATTTATTTAGGAAGCTTCTATGCCGCCCCATTCGCCGAAGCCTCACAATAATAAATAAACACAATATAAAACAATATAGGTCTTCTCCTGAAATTGTGAAGATTTTGCATACCTTGGTACCATATTCACTTGGTTGGGAGGAGGTGTTCCCTGCTCATTTTCTAATGATCACAAGCAGGCAGAAGTGCAAGCTGTTTTCCTTATACAGAGATGCATATTTGAAAATAGCCTGGATGATAGACTTTTTAAAAAGTGAGTTACCTAGCATGCATCGGAGTGATAGGCAGTCCATCTGTAATGGAAAACTGCTAATAACCCATTCTCAGCCTCTCCCCTTTCTTCAGTTCCAAGTCCTTCTGCTTCAGCTGGAACACCAGTTCAGACAAGAGAAAGATGACACAGGGCCCCTTTAGTCCCCGTATGACTTGAAGGGTGGCTTCATTGCCTTTCTCACTAGTTCTGTCAAAAGAATGGCTTGGCCTTGATGACTGGCCACCTTTCCTGACCTCAGTAGCATGCACCTTCTTCCCTACTCTAGGCCAGCCTGAGCCCAACTACCCAAAATGAAAGAAAAACAACCGAAAGTAGATTCCCCACCCCAACCCCTGGATTTAGACATAGAGCATGCGAAGACCCATCCCACCACTAACATCATAATGGCAAGCAGGCACCCACAGACACCCCAGTGTCAAGAAATCACCTCTGAAAAGAGTAAACAGGGAGGGAGATTGACTGGAGAGGCTTGGAGCTGCCCCAGCCTTCATTTTGCTCCCTCCATTGTGCTCCAGCTAGATGTGAAAAAAAAGCTCATCTACAGAAAACGCACCCAGGGCAGCTGGGAAGTGAAGATTGCCTCAACTTGTCGTCCTGCTTAGTTTTGGATGCCCATAAGCCCCCGAGTTCAGGAACGTACAGGCATCCCCAAAGGACTGCACCCTTTTGAAATGAATCAGAACTATCTTTTGAATTGTTTTTGCAGTTCTCATTGGGGGGTGGGAGGGGAGGTATTTCCAGGAAGCAAATACATACACCAACATATAACTTATTATCACGTGCCAGCATATGCCTTGACTTTCCTTATTGCTATAGTGCACTTATCAGGCATGGCATTTCAAAGAGTACAAGAGAGCAGTCCTCTTCACTGAAAATTTTATACCCTGAAATGTGGCAGCAAGGAAACAACAGAGAAAGATGAGGAAAATAGTAGGAAAGTGAACAGGGAAAGAATCTATAATGGTTTCAGTTAGAGATTCTTACACTTGGTTGCAGAAAGGCATGGGAACCGAGGGGAAGAAGAGGCCCATTATCTATGCTAGAGAACTCCCTGCTATCACAAGGATGGGCTGGATTTCCCAAGCTGCTTCTGCTGCTACCAACAGTGAGTGACAATCTGCCTGCTACCAGGCTGCTTAAGCTGGGGAATCAGCAGCATGCTGGCAACATTTCAGATGATCATCAGGTGTACTTCTGCTGAGGGACAAGAATCTCTCCGAAGAAATGGAGTAGCCTTCATAGTCAATAAAAGAGTAGGAAAAGCAGGATACAATCTCCAAAATGACAGAATGATCTCAGTTCGAAACCAAGGCAAACCATTCAACTTCACAGTAGTCCAAGTCTATGCCCCAACCACTGATGCTGAAGGAGCTGAATTTGACCAGTTCTATGAAGGCCTAAAGACCTTGTTGAAATAACACCAAAAAATTATGCCCTTATCATCATGGGGTATTGGAATGCTAAAGTAGGAGGCCAAAAGATAACTGGAATAACAGGCAAGTTTGGCCTTGGAGTACAAAATGAAGCAGGGCAAAGGCTGGCAGAATTTTGTCAAGAGACACACTGGTCATAGCAGACACTCTTTTCCAACCACCCAAGAGTCGACTCTACACATGCACATCACCAGACGGTCAACAAAGAAATTAGATTGACTATGTGCTTTGCAGCCAAAGATGGAGAAGCTCTATACAGTCAGTAAAAACAAGACCAGGAGCTGACTGTGGCTCAGATCATGAGCTTCTTGTTGCAAAATTTAGGCTTAAATTGAAGAAAGTAGGAAAAAGTACTAGGCCACTCAGGTATAACCTAAATCATATTCATACTTCAGTTGGTGCAGAATAGAGCTGCCAGGTTGCTGACGGGGACTGGGTGTTGTTCTTATATAGTCCCAGTTCTCCGTCAGCTCCACTGGCTCCCGATTGAAGTCCGGGCCCTATTCAAGGTGTTGGTTATGACCTATAAAGCCATAAATGGCTTGGGAACTGGATATCTAAAGGAATACTTGCGCCCATATATGCCCTCCCGCCCCTTGAGATCAGCAACAGATGCCATTCTCCGGGAACCCTCCGTGAATGATATTAGGAGGGTGAGTACCCGGAGGAGGGCTGTCTCTGCGGTGTTGCCCCATCTGTGGAATGCGCTCCCCAGAGAGGTCCGCCTGACGCTGTCGTTATTTGTTTTTCGGCGCCAGGCTAAGACCTTTTTATTTAAAACTTATTGTAATTGTTAAAATATTTAATTAATTGGGATTTTAAATTTTTTTTAGCCAAGATTGCACTGGGTTTTTTTATTGTTATATTATTATTATTTATGTATTTATCTATGCTTTGTGAGCCACCCCGAGGCTTTGTTGCGATGGGGGCGGCATAGAAATGTTTTAAATAAATAAATAAATAAATATTCCTTATGAATATACGGCAGAGGTGACAAATAGATTTAAGGAATTAGATCTGATAGACAGAGTGCCCGAAGAACTATGGACAAAGGTTCGCAACATTGTACAAGAGGTAGCAACTAAAACCATCCCAAAGAAAAAGAAATGCAAGAAACTAAAATGGCTGTCTGGGGAGACTTTACATATAGCTGAGGAAAGAAGGGGAGCGAAAGGCAAGGGAGAAAGGGAAAGATACACCCAACGGAATGCAGAATTCCAGAGAATAGCTAGAAGAGATAAGAAAGCCTTCTTAAATGAACAGTGCAAAGAAATAGAAGAAAACAATAGAATAGGGAGGATCAGAGATCTCTTCAAGAAAATTAGAGATATGAAGGGAACATTTCATGCAAAGATGGGCATGATAAAGGACTAAAATGGCAGGGACCTAACAGAGGCAGAAGAGATTAAGAAGAGGTGGCAAGATTACACAGAAGAACTATACAAGAAAGAGCTTAACGTCCCTGATAACCATGATGGGGTGGTCACTGACCTCAAGCCAGACATCCTGGAATGTGAAGTCAAATGGGCCTTAGGAAGTCTGAGCAACAACAAAGCTAGTGGAGGCGACAGTATTCCAGTTGAGCTATTCAAAATCCTAAAAGATGATGCAGTAAAAGTGCTACACTCAGTATGCCAGCAAATTTGGAAAACTCAACAGTGGCCACAGGATTGGAAAAGGTCAATTTACATTCCGATCCCAAAGAAGGGCAATGCCAAAGAATGTTCAAACTACCGCACCATTGCACTCATTTCACATGCTAGCAAAGTTATGCTCAAAATCCTACAAGCTAGGCTCCAGCAGTATGTGGACTGAGAACTACCAGAAGTACAGGCAGGATTTCAAAGAGGGAGAGTAACTAGAGATCAAATTGCCAACATACGCTGGATCATGGAGAAAGCTAGGGTGTTCCAGAAAAACATCTACTTCTGCTTCATTGACTATGCTAAAGCCTTCGATTGTGTGGATCACAACAAATTGTGGCAAGTTCTGAAAGAGATGGGAGTACCAGGCCATCTTATTTGTCTCTTGAGAAACCTATATGTGGATCAAGAAGCAACAGTGAGAACTGGACACGGAACCACTGATTGGTTCAAAATTGAGCAAGGAGTTTGACAAGACTGTATACTGTCACCTTGCCTATTTAACTTATATGCAGAGCACATCATGAGAAAGGTGGGGCTAGATGAATCACCAGTTGGAATTAAGATTGCTGGGAGAAATATCAACAGCCTCAGATATGCAGATGATACCACCCTCATGGCAGAAAGTGAAGAGGAACTAAAGAGCCTCTTGATGCGGGTGAAGGAGGAGAGTGCAAAAGTCCTCTCACTTCCTGGCAAATAGATGGGGAAGAAATTGAGGTAGTGACAGATTTTATTTTCCTGGGCTCCAAGATCACTGCAGATGGGGACTGCAGTCAAGAAATTAAAAGATGCTTGCTCCCGGGGCGGAAAGCTATGGCAAATCTAGACCGCATACTAAAAAGCAGAGACATCACGCTGCCATCAGAAGTGCGTATAGTCAAGGCTATGGTTTTCCCAGTTGCAATGTATGGCTGTGAAAGCTGGATCATAAGGAAGGCTGAGCGCCAAAGAATTGAGGCCTTTGAATTGTGGTGCTGGAGGAGACTCCTGTGAGTCCCTTGGACCGCAAGGCGATCAACCAGTCAGTCCTAGAGGAGAACAACCCTGACAGCTGTTTAGAAGGCCAGATCCTGAAGATGAAACTCAAATACTTTGGCCACCTAATGAGAAGGAAGGACTCGCTGGAGAAGAGCCTAATGCTGGGAACAACTGACGGCAAAAGAAGAAGGGGATGGCAGAGGATGAGGTGGCTAGACGGAGTGAGCTTAAGTGGACTCCGGGGGATGGTGGAGGACAGGAATGCATGGAGGAATGTTGTCCATGGGGTAGCAATAGGTCAGATGAGACTTTGCTAAACAACAACAACAACAAACTATTGAAAAACCGTGTGTTTGGTCTGATATAGT